AGACTCCCTAGGAAATACAAAAACGGTGACCCGGTAGACGACCATTGGATACGTCTTGTGAGCACGTGGAGGAAACTCCCCACCCCCGGCCGCCCCGCACCGGACAGATGGGAGGAGATAATCAGACAACCGTTGTTTTGCAATAGATTAATCACAGACTCCCTCGGCCAGGTGAGAAATAACTCAGACTCCCCATGAAAAATTTGGGTGAAACATGGGGTGTTGAGGGTGGGGGACCTCTGGGATGAGGCAAGCGGAGAATGGAAAAGTGCAGCAAGCATGAAAAGATGCCTACGCTACTACCACTTACTAGATTCAACAATGGAAGAACTAATTGAAAGTTTCCCCATCCAATGGTACACCACGCTCAAGAAGGGTCCAACGTTGGAAGAGGATGATTGGGTGGGGCTACCTGACCATGAATCACAAGTACTAAGCCGAGTGCACATAGTGGACCAAGCACAAATTCTGATTGAATGCTACACTGTCACAGAAACAGGGCAGCTACAAGAGAGTAGACAACCCGTCATCTGGAAAAGAAAATCAGAAGTTTATCGCATTAGGGTAATAGAAGCGGGGAAAGGCTGGAAAGCGTATCGCCTAATAACCCCGATTGAGAACCTCCCCTTGGATCCCCAAGAATGGAGATGGTCGTGGAAAGGCAGGGGAAGGCGGGGACGGGGGGAGGAAAAAACGGTACTGTTAGCTACCCTCAAAAGGAAGTTGGTCTACCGAATGCTCAGGCCCAAGCGTAGGCTACGAGACGTGGTTGAGGATAGATGGCAGCGCCATCTTAATGTAGACAGAAGTGCACTCAAACCTATCCAATGGTTCAGTGAGTACCAAAAAATGCCGGCAAAAATCTCCGCTCTTGAATGGCAAATTACCCATCGATGCCTGCCAACTAATGACTGGCTGATTGATCATACGCAGCTAGAACAACAAGGAAGGACGCTCCCCTGGTGCCGGAGTTGTTGCCAAAACTTCCCCGGAAAAAAGCGCCCTGAGACGGTTGAGCACATTTTCTTGCAATGCCCTGCAGCTGTCTTATTATGGCAATGGTGGGATCGGATCTGGCACATCGTTTCAGGTTCATCATGGCCTTGGGACTGGAGGGCAATCCTGCTAGGACACTACCCCCAGTTTCGTGACAACACCTTTGTAGCTAATATGTTCTCTCTGGGCAGGCGTACTGTCCTATGGGCCATATGGCTGAGAAGATGCATTCAGGAATTGGAGGGGGCCAGGGTGGAAGAGGGGGACGTCACAGAGCAGATACGATTTCTTTTCCTGCATGAGATCACGGCACAATGGCAGAGAGTTAAGGACAACCTGAAGCAGGTGAACAGCGAGGTAGACATTAAAAAAATTATCTCCCGGTTCTGTGAAGACTGGCTGGGGGGAAAGAGGTCACGAGTGTGAGCTAGACAGGAGACAGGCTGGACCGGCAGCAGAACGAAGGACATGGAGAGGGACAAAAGGCCGATTTGGAAAGGAACTATCAGCTTCACTTTAAGGATTGGACAAGGGTGGATCCTAGAGAGCGGCTACGACCTGCTCAGGACTTCGCTGATCCCTTTCCCCCTCACCCGCTGGCCCTGGAGGAATACCTGGGGACCTAGAGACAATTGGAGTTGAAGACGAATTCAGTGGGGGTTCTGAGTTGCTGTATCAGACCATCCTATATCTGGTTACTTCATCTCACTCAGCCCGTGCTATCTCAATGTGACCCAGAACGGATTTCTTATCAGATATTAAGATCTTAGACACTCCTTCAGACGTTCTCAAAGGAAAGTGTGGTAGTGTGTCCGGGAAGATGGGCCGGGGAACAAACAGGGACTACTGATGCCCCCCAGTAGCCCTGATGGGCCCCAGCCCTGGGTCTTGGCTTGGAAAGTACAGGATAGTTAGCGAAGGGACGCTGGACCCGGTTTCCAGCATGCTATCTCATGATTCCTCATGGTCCTTTTCTCTCAAAATGTAAGGGACACTGGACCCGGTTTCCAGCAGGTGCTGCTCCACCACTAGTAGATGGAGCCTTCCTGGGGGTGCTAGAGGTGGCTGATTATATGAACACCTCTAGCATCACCAGGGGTGTTAAAAAAAAAAAAAAAAAAAAAAAAAACCTAAGCTCATACCAAAGTAGCCGTTGGGCTGTAATAACAGTGCTCGTGGTGGGTATGCGCATAATTTTGTGGTCTGTCATTCAAGGCCCACCCCTGGGTGTGGGTACACCCACAATTTTGCCAACCCCTTTCTGGGCAAGGGCAAACCAAGGGTCTGTGCTACTGGGTATGCCTACAATTCCCACAGGGGACAACTTGGGTACTACATGTTCAACGGGTCCGGGCATAGATGCAAGTTGAACTTGGGCGTATAACGGGCTACAGATGCAAATTGGCAGCTAGAGGGGGACAGTCAAACAGCGTGTATGTCCTGCGGGACGTATAGCGGGGTACATACGTTGTATTTTTGGCCAGCTGGTCAGACGGCGTGTACGTCTTTCCCGAGGGTATCAGCAGACCATGTGCCACTCTTTTTTTTCTTTCTCTTTTCCCCAATGAATCCGAACACATACTACACTTGGGGGGGCTCGCCACACCACTGTAAGGGCATACTCAATCTGCGACCCCAAATCTGCGAAATAGGCGGATTTGTGTGTTTGTTTGTTTGTTTTTTTAACATGAATTAGTTATCATTTTTTTTTTTCCCCCCCCCCCTTTTTCCCCCCTTTGAAACGGGCCCAGTGAGAAGGGCCCATTTGAGGTTTTGGGCATGGTTCACGTCAGTGACACACAGCTGTACCTTTTTAGATCATACAAGGTGGCGGCCGTTGGTACTTGGCTGGTAACATGCAAGAACTCTAGTGAACAAATTTTTGTCAATTTTTGAAGAAACTGCAGAAAAATATAGGGCATTTGCGGTCACCTCTGGCAAAATCCCTTGCGGCGCGGCTTCCCAGGCCCATGACAAATGGGCCCACCAAGAGTACATTTGGTACTTTGGCAAATCTGTGTGATCTGCCCTCTACCCGTCTTTTGGGGGGATTTGGGATTATAGGTCCCAGTGTGAGTATGCCCTAAGAAATGAAAAAAGAACCAAAATGCATACCCGCAGAGATGGGCAAGATACATCCTTTATTATTCATACCGACACATCTTACCGCTTTCTAACGACCATTTCGTCAAAATGGACATTTTTTATTTTTCGAACAAAATTGAAACCGAGTTTTTTGGCCGCAAACTCGTCAAAATTTGCTGTTCCTGAAACGCTGGACCCTCAGGGACAACAAATTTTGACGAGTTTTGGGCAAAAAAACTCTTTCAATTTCTTTCGAAAAATAAAAAATGTCCATTTTAACGAAATGGCAGACGCATTTCATTCGTTCTTTTTTCGTTGCTACAGTGGTGTGGCCAGGCCCTTGATCTTGGCCAAGAGGTCTCAGGGCCTCGTTCGACATTACTTGAACTCAAGGGTTGACAGAAAATTCTTCGTTCCACCCCCCTCCCTAATGACCCCCCAGCCCCGTAATATTTTCACTTTGAAATTCCTGCTCTCAAGTGTGCATACTTGAAACTCAAGTGCCGCTGGGGCAAAATCGCACTTGAACTGAAGGTGCCTCCTGGAGGTACCTTGAGTTCAAGTGCCAGCAGATACCACCCGCAGTCCAAGTGGGGCTTTGTTTTTGTTTTTCTTTTTTTTTTCCAGCAGGCCATCCTGGTCCAGGATTGGTCAAGCTGCCGAGTTTGGTTTCAAGTGCAGCGATGCTGTTCAAGGGTTTCCTCAAGTGTACATGGAACCATAAATCGAGTAAAAGTGTAAATTAATCACAATTTCTCGTTTAGTGTACACTTGAAACTCAAGTATTTTCTAGTGGTGTCAAACGAGGCTCTCACGGGAGGAGAGAGGTTACACACGTTTTTAGCCATGGGGGGAATTTCAGCGATTTCGGGACTCTGACCACTGTCTAATTGCGCTTGTCCTCCTCGCTCAGGTTGGAGGAGAGTCTGCATTTCGGGTTTTTTTTTTTTTTTTTTTTTTTTTGAAGAAACACATGGCCCCATCTATTCTGGGGGACGCCTCAGATTGAATTATAAGGGACGTTTGTCCCCGATTCCCACGAATAGAAAGGAGCGTTGTTTGTTGAAACAAAAAAAAAAAAAAATAATAAATAACAAATGTCTGGGGGGCATACGGATGCATCTTAGCGCTTTCTGTTAATTGCATCTGGTCCGTGGACAGCTGAAAAATAAAAAAATAGAAAAAAACTCAAGTCTGAATGAGTGGGATCTCCTCCGTTT